CTCGGGAAGGTCCCTGCCGTGACATCCCGGAGGTGGTGTTGGGTGATGTCGTTTGAGACACGAAGCAGAGATCTCCAGACAGCGGCATAAGGGCGGTCTCTGGTGGAAGCAGAGCGGATCTACAGCATCGCCACCGGACAGGCAGAGAGCTGTGTCCACAGCTGCCAGAAGTCACGGCTTTTTAGCCATAATACTTCATCAGCGTGATGCATTATACCCGAAAAACAGAGCTCTCACGCACGCTTTTGGCCTTCAGGTCTTCTCTCACATACGATCGCAGTGTACTCACATTCCCAAAATGGGAAGAGTGGCTTTTCTGAGGGATTTTCTTAAATGAAACGAGAATCGGAACACTCAGTCCCACTTCAGGGCTGCAATATGTTGACCAACCAACCATCTGACAGCAGGCAAGGAAGCAAGATGAGGTAAGGAAAATCAGCAAACAGTTGCTCAGGGCAGTGACACCGCTAGTGAATGTGCAACCTCAGTGAAAACATTAGAGCTTGAGGGCTTTCCCCAAAATCAGGCTTTCAGCCCACTTAATGCTTGCTTCAGAATTGACAATTGGAAGTCTGAACCCAGCAAAAACAACATTAAATCTCGTCACTAAAAAATCTCGAGGAACTTTAAAAACATGACAAGAATTCAATTATAACTTTTGATAGGTGTTTCCTGGTAACTCAGAGTTGGATCAAGAGGGACAACAGAATGTGCCCTGTCAGTATCAGCAGCCTCCGAGGCAGGACTACAAACCAGAAAACAACAGAAGAGAAAACATCAACCAAAGAGAAAACAAATCCAGGAGGAAAAATAAATGGAAAATAAATAAATCAAAGCAATAGTCAGATTGGTCGTTTCTACATCCCTGTTTTTAAACACAGCATGAGCCAGTCCCTGTATTCCCCAGAGCAGTTATCCAGACAGCAGGAGGTTTTGGGGGCTCTTCATGGACCGTTTTAGAGGACGTGGCATGAGGAGACACCAGCAGGAGGTCAGAGCTCACTCCGACTCAGTTCCCTGCTCACGAGGCCAACAGCTCGAGGTCACCACACTTCACTTCTTCATTCCTCACCAAATCACCGCTTCCAGCACAGGCTGCCCCTCAAAGCATCACAGAGGGAAAATGAAAGGGGAATGTGGGGAGAAGAAAGCAGCTTTTTGGTTTTTAAGGGGTTTTTTGTTAATGTTTTCCTGCAGTGAGGAGGCATCCCTTGTTCTAACTGGATGAAAATCCAGGATACATAGGAAAGCATCTCATGTCTCGTAACCACGGCAGATGAAGCTGGCAAGAAAGCCCTCACCCTTCTCCAAACCATCAACTTATTCTGTGTGTTATGGCAAGGATATGGTTGAGAAGCCTCATTTCCCCCAGGGAAAACTATTTTTCTTGCACACCTCAACTACGTTTTCCAGAGCTACCCAGGCCTCAGGCCAACGACAGAGCCACGTTAGCCTTGGAGACAAAGAACCGTTAAGCTCTGGTTAAGGCAGTGTTCTCCTTCTTCCCCAGAACACTTGAGAACTTGAATGAGAGCCACAGATTGGCTTGGGCACAAACCTCAGGTGTTTCTCCTTTACTCACCCCCACTGCTGAAGTTTTCCTGTCTGGGGAATGGCAAAGATGAGGTACACACTCAAATTCACCTTTTCCTTGCATTTGGGAGGTTCTGCAAGATTCACAACGGCCTTACAAGAACCACACTACAAGAGAAACACACATCAAAGTGGTCAAATACACTGGTTTTTAATGCAGATCTGTAAAATTTAAGCCGTTTGAAAATTTAGGACATTTCATGAAAGAGCATTTGGTCCTCTTTAAAAATTTCCCGTCCCCAATTAAATACTTCATGAAAAAAAATCAACAATGAACCCCACATTGCATTTTTAATTAGGAAAAGTTGATATTGCACATTATACCATGAAATACAAAAGTCTGTTTCAGCAAGTTATTCCAGCAGTGTTATCCATTTCATTTTGGCATCAGTGACTTACACAAAAGTTTTCATTTTAGTGCACAACACATGCCCTGTTCGTTACGGAGTAAAAATGCATCAAAGCATTTTTAAAACAAAGAGGAAGAAAAATCTGCTCCTTCAAGAACACAAAGCCTTTTCCCATGCAGGCAGCACCAGTCTCCTTGCAGACAAAACCCATTCCTATGGGAAGATGAGTGTCAGATCACCTTGGCAACACAAATTTCAGAGCGGTTTCTAACGAGAAGCTGCCCGTGTATTCTTTGGCACTGTAACTAATGGCCCAAGTCACCACGGGCTGCATGGCTGCAGCTCCTGCCCTCGCCGTTCCCATCCTACAGCCACCTCTCGCTCTGTTTCTGGCACTACACAAGAGGGAAAAGCATGGCAGCAGAACCCCTGTGCAACCTCATTACAGCTGTGTAATTCTCTGAGGAAAACTCTGAGGCAGATCTCTGTGCTAACACCGGGCTGGAAGCCCCAGCAGGGCTCAGGGGTTTCAGAAGGCACAGAACACCGAGAGGCAACGGCGAGGGAGAGAACGCGTGTCCAGAGAGTGAACTGCGAGTGGGGGGACATCGTCAGCAAAGCAGTCACCAACACACCTGGAATTTTAAAAGGCAGCTGTGGGATGCTGCCTTGGGCTCCCACACCACCAAGCGCTGCTCACTTCGGAGCTGCAGCGAGATCTGGCCCAGACGCGGCGTTTCAGAGAGTACTGATGTTCTCTCCTTTTGCACGTCCTCCTGCGCTTCCTTACATGTTTCCAGGTGACATTTATTGGTTAAGAAGCTACACCTTGAACCTCTCCCGATACCTCTTTGGATTGTAACACTTAAATTTTGCTTTGCTTCGAAACAGGCAACAAAGACATTGCAGTAACAGGTGAGTTACAATTGCCAGGTGCCTCAATTATCAAGGCAATCGATTCTATTGCAACATTTCGGGAAATCTTAACATACTCCCTTCTCCTCCCTCCAAATCTGCCCCCTTTAAAACACACACAATACAAAAAAGACTGGATTTTTTTTCTTTTTTTCTGCCTGAATACAAGATCCAACTGTCACAGAATAGAAGATTCTACAGCAAAGTCCCTGAGATGCATCTGAATACTAAAAGATTCAAACAATAACCTCTCCAGCACTAACTTGGTATTTATTAGAAATGTTCTGAGTTGCAATATATGGTTTATGAAAACCGACATTGTTATAAGGAGGAGAAAATACAGCAGAACAAGTTTGTCCTTATACTTAAGCCTTAATTTAAAAATAATTAATCTAACAGTAACGTTCAACTACTTCAAAAGTAAAAAGCATGTAACCAATGGGGAGTCACTGAAAAAAAACAGCTGATATATTTAAAGTAAGTCGTTCTGGCCTCTGTTTTCATCCCTCAGCAGCCCTGCCTGAGTTAAACTGCGTTCTCCCTCAAAGTTCACAGAGTTATTCCTCAGACATATCCGAGCTGCATTTCAAGACGGTGGGATGAGGCAACAGCATTTTTTCACCGTTCCACACCAGAACCACAAGGCACAGCTCACAGGTACAGCACAGCGCTACGGAAAGCATCGACCGCAGCCATGACCCTGTTACAATGGCACGTCCCAAACCCAGACCTCCAGCTCCATCCTCACGATGCTGCAGAGGCTGCCCCGTTACTGCACTGACGGAATGAATGCAGCTCACCAGCATTCTCTGGGATGGGCACAGCAGCTGATGTTCTTCACGTATCTTTAAAAAAAAAGGTCATCTCATATGTAAGTTACTTTTTAAGTTACTTTGGGATCCACTGTATTCTGTAACCAGCTGATCAGAAATACTTTAACCACCTTCCCAAGCAAGCTCAGTTTTTCCTGCTAGCAAAGAAAACTTAAGGCACTAACATATTAATGCTGTCAGGAATGTGAAATAGTTTGTTCTTCACACACTGTGATACCAGTTCTTAGCAGCATCTCTCCTGAAAAGGCACTGAACACATGGCAAGTAACAAAACTTTTGGAACTTCTGCTCAGCTATTTAAAGTTAGCTGCTTGGGCAGCTGAGTGGCTTTGCAATTTCCCCTTCCCTCCCCCCATTCCCTCACAAAAAAAGGCACCTGATTTGTTTTATTACTGGTTTCTGTAGCCACAGGCTCCTGCAATGATGCAGTTCTATACAACTGGGTATATGGGGGGGTATCATGACTACACATAGCCCCTTATATGAGGAGTTCTCTTTTCTAGACACAGCGTTTTTGTTTCAGCAAAACCCAACAGCAGTGGGTTCCTACCTGAGTAGTCCTGAAGGTTGTGTATTGCTAGTCAGAATAAATCAATGATCAAACCCGGTGTAAGAAATTGCACTTTCCCATTCCTTCCCCGATCCCAAGATAACTTCAAATTAAATACTAGCCCCTTTAGAAAAGGGACATTTGTAATACAGCTACAAAGAGGTAGCTAAGTGGCACATGCCAATTTTCTTTTCATTTTTTTAAAAAAAAGTATATTCAGCCTTCATTTGCATCTTTTTTCAGAGGAAGTCTTAAAACAAGAAATCTCTATTCAGTGGCACGTGGAGTTACCACAGTTGAGAAGACGAAAGTCGCAGGAGAACTCGATCTCCCTTCAGGTCCGTAATTGAAAACTGCCAAGCACGGGGGAACCCAAGTGACCGAGCGTTTGCAGGTGTGCAGCTGGAGAGGAGAGGAACATCTGCAGCCAAATCCCCTGCTCCTCCTGACAGACGACAAAAGTTAATCTGAAGAACAGTTCAGATCAAGCCCACCATTCGGTCAATCTGTCTCATGTAGTTACTCTTCAATGGCAGTAGGTACCTCCTCTCATCAGGAACTCTGTTACACTGGCAATAAAATAAGAATACTTTTAAGAACTCAAAGACAAGAACAGGCAATCCCATGCCCTCTAATCTAGCAGGTGTTTCGGCACCAGTAACCATCCGTTTCCACCCAGTACAGAAGATCGTACCAAACAGCACATTTGGGTACCCTTCGCAAGCTCCCAGCACAAATCACGTAAATGAACAGCAAGGGTTTCCTTAGCGCAGGCTGCAAGCTTCCAAACAGACGCCAAACTACTGCAGCTTTTTACTCAACTGAGACTTCTTTCACTATGACAACTGTGAACATTTTTTAAAATAATGCTCTTTTTCTGCAGGATTAGGGGGAGGAGGAAAGGAACCACGCTAGAACCTACTAGCAGAGATTTTTTAAAAAGCATTCTGTATTAACAGCCCATCTATTTTGGTTGGTGATAGGCACCGGGTCCATAGCTCTGTACTAAGGTCACCTTTACGTGCCTCAAAACCATTCTGAGAATAAAAAGCTTTGTTTAAGTGACTCTCTCCTTTGCTTCTCCCCCATCACAGCAACACTGGAAGATTTCAAGGACAAAGAAAAGGGGAAGGCAAAAATAATTGGAAGTAAGTTAACAATAAATTGCTGCAACCTACTTAAAAGGGGACAGGTTTCACCTTCAACATAATCACTCTCACATTATCCCAATCCATTCACTCCACTACGAAAAAACAAAAGCGTTTTCCACAAGGGAGCTCCTCAGATATTTGACATTTACAAAGGAAACACTGCAGAGCCCTAAAGTAACACTTCCAAATGGCTCTTTTTCGACTGCCTGACCCAGCTGAACAAACATCCCTTTCCCAGCAACACAACTGAGAACTCTCTGTGTATTCCTTACGTTAGAGCTGAAGTTGACTGCCTTTAATTCGTTAGGTTTCACTTTTTCTGTGCTGTCCTCTTCTCCGGGGAGGATGTCTTGCCACAGGGAGTTACGGAAACGTTCATCCACAGACACAACATGTCCCTCAGTAGTAAACATATACTTATTTCCAGATTTATGCAGTGGATTCTCTTCATCAAACAACTGAAAAAGAGATGGGAGAGATGGCTATAGTACGTGTGCAACATTCTTCATGTACCATCAACAGTGAGTTAAAATGCATCTGAAGGATCACACAAACAGCACACCTTTTAGTGCTAAATGGGTAACTACTGTAACAGCAAATGGAAACCACTGGTTTTAATGCAAGGGAGTTATTTTAACAGTTAAAGAGGGAGAGCAAAAGAAAAACTTTTCACACGACTTAAGCCGCCCTTATGTTTCTAAGCTGCACTATGCAGGCATTTCTAGGCTGGCATCCACTGTTTCCAATTCAGTCACAGATTTATTTGTTTTTCTACACTAAAGGAGATTGAGAAAAGTAGCTTCAGCAGTGTTGGCTCAAATGCTTTCTCCTGTGACTGCCAAAGCCTGGTGGGGAGAAATCGGCGGCTGCTGCGAGGCAGGCAAAATGGCAACAAGCAGTCGTTGAGCTCCAAGCTGAGCGGTGGCTTCCTTCCCTTCCCAGCTTCCCCAGGAGCTGCCAGCTCTGCAGCCAGCACTGCCCAAACCTCCAGGATTAGGGCAGCAAAGACATAAAGAGCAGCAAGTTTTCTGATAGCTAAACCCCAATCTTCCCCTGAGCCCAGCACAGTTTCTGATTAGCACCATCCCACCCTGGTATGCCATGTTTGTGTGCAGCACATGCAGGAAACTATCTTTGAAAGGAAGGACATACACATACCAGGTACAAATATTTACATGTTTCACTGAGAAAAAAGCTCTCCATTCGATCTTCCTTTGTCTTCTCTACAACGTGGTGTAAAGTGGCATAGCCACACCTGCAAGATTTAAGATGAGTCTAGGTTGAATTCCCATGCACCCCAATCTCAAAGCAATCCCTGTACATTCCTTAACTTCCGACCATTCGAATCTTCCTTCTGAGTCTTGCAGGAAGTTCAGATACTGAGTATTACAGTCAGGATTCATAGTTACTCTCTTGAAAAGAAAACTGATACGCAACAGTATTTGTCTTAGAGGCCATTCCCCCAGTTTAGTTACACACCATGGGCCCATGAGGTTAGAAATATTCTTGCAGGATCCATGGGAAAAAACAAAACAAAACAAAAACAACCTACTAAATTTACCAGGCTTTAGCAACTGACCATCAACAATGCACTCAAAGGTAGTTAGAACATTTTGAAGGCATAAAATTGTCACTGGACTATAATTTTATTTTCAGATGAGGAAGAAATAATTGCTTAATAAAGGAATCATGACTTGTGGTGTTCATGCAAGGTTGGGTTTTCTGGTTTAGTGTATTTTGCAGATCGGATTCTATCCATATAATATTTATATAATAAAATATATGCATACAGCAGTGAGGTAAGATAAAGAACATTGAGGACTGACTTTGCTTTTGTGTATTTTTCCAGACTCTGCAGAATGTCCATTCCCACATGAAGGTAAAATGGGTTCTTTGTGGCCTAAACAAGGAAGTCAGACAAGAGTTAGAGTCAGCAATTTCAAAACCTTGTAAAAATAACACTTACAACAAAGGCCCAGTAGTATCAGACTCTCGTGTGTTACAGTAAATTTATCTTTATAGGAACATGACTTAGATTACTCTGTGCAAGCTTCTCACTTTGCTTTAATGTAAATCCTAATATAACTTGTAGTAAATTCAAGCTCTTTGATAGCTTTCTTGCAGCCAGGAAGTTATTTTGGTTTACTACATCTTCCGCCACTTGGAGACTGTGCCCAGACAACACAGCAAGGAAAGCTATTACATTTACTTCAACAATTTCTATTAAGAAGTCGCAAGTCCCTACCTTGTAAAAACCTGCCAGCTATTTTTTTAAAAAGGTTGTTCAGTCTCATTTTTTTCTGTCTTATAAAAAAATGTTATTTTTAATAGCACTGCATAACAATCTAGAGCCCAAACAGAGACCTCTGTATAAGAACAGGCAGTTCCAGAAGCACCAAGTTTTAGAAGGCCAGAGGCTAGCGGTAGCAAAAGTGACTTTCTGAACGAAAACACTGTCGCCAAAACATGAGCTTGTACGCTGAGAAAAGTCAAGTACCTGATAGAGAAGATACGTGGATTCCACCAACTCTGGCCTCAGCGGGTAAAAGGGAACATCCGGTGCTTGCAATTGCCAGTTGTATCTTTCTGGGAGAGCTCCGTATCGTTTCCATATGGCATAATAAAAAGCGTGGAGACAAATAGCATCTTCCACATCTCCTATCAATACCTAGGCATAACAACAGCCGTAAACACGTGCACTTAATACTACAAGCCAGCAAACTGCTTTCTGCTCTGTATAAGAATATGCCATATAACTAAACACTCCCCTCACAAGGAGACACAACTAAAAAACTCAACCCAAAAGAGAAAGGTAACGTATTAATTCCTTTGCACTAAAAGCTTTAGCAGACCTCAGCCTCACAGCACAGTAAACAAATGCTGAGGTTAAACAAGAAGAGTTTAAAGTATCTCAGATCGCACACAGAGCAGGCCAGGCCTTACAGTACTGTTTTGCTGACACAGAAGCTGAACTGCCCCAAGACTCTCTTATCAGAGCAGCCAGATGTGAAGCCACAGGTTGAAGCTCATCTCACAAGAGATGCTCAGACTCACTCACAGCCCAGGATAAGAATGAACCTTTCTGACACCCTTCTGCTGCATTGTTTGGTCTTTAACAAATCAAAGTTTACCTGCAGCCCAGGAAAAAAGGCTTGCAAAGAGTCGATCCACGTGTTCATCAGCTGTCCTGTGAACATGTTCACATTAACATACAGAGGAGGGTCACCTTCACCTTCATTGCAAGCTTCTCGACTGCCAAGTAACAATAAGCATGTGTAAATATTCGCTATTTCAGAAGAACACAATGCACATTTCACCTCACAGCACAGCCACCAGAGAAGGAGCCGCACATTTGTCATGTCAGGCTCAAAACCATTTTGAAAAGAACAGTCAGTCATGCTCTCAGAAAAATTAATTCATTAATTCTCAAATCCTGAAGTTTTATCAGCAGAACCTCTACCAAAAAGTCATGCTAGGTAAGATCAGGCCTTAAGAAGCAGTAAATCAGCTAATTTAATACATTTCCTTTGCAGTCCGACAGCTTTCTCTCAACCTAACACTTACTAACTTGGACAGTAACCAGTTTAGCTGCTTTGCACCAATAACACAATTCACATTAGTAGACTAAAGAGTGAAGGGAACGCTAAAATTTATTTCCATGGTGACTACCACAGAAAGAAAATTGTGTTTTTAGAGGGAAAAAAAAACTAAAAAAGAACACCACACATTTTCTCGAGTGTGACTCAAAACACTGTGCAATCTCTCGCTTCTTGCTAGAGTACTCATCACTTAAGGAACTGATAGGCATGAAATAACATACCCTCTTCTTAAGTGGTTCTGAATGTTCCTATAAGCATCGTTGAACATTTCCAAGTCTTCCTTTTCTCCAAAGAGGATGTAAGATTTCAGGAGGTACTCATAGAATGAATCCGACCCTGCTCCCAATCCACTTTGCTTTCCAACCCAATGGCCAGTTTGAATATTCACAACATTTCCTTTTAGAACAGACAAAAAGTTTGGTCTAAAATTGCACAGGACAACAGAGAAAAATAATCAAGAACGAGAACTTAGAAATATTACATCTTCACAACATCTTAAGGAGGAATGACTACAGATTACTATCAAAATAAAGCGTTAAGAGTGCATTCATCCAAGGAACCAGCACACACATGCAGTTGTTGTAAGTACTTTTTAGTCATCTGCCAATCTAAATTACATTAATAGGGATACAAATGCAGGAACTTCAGTTTCATTTCCCAGTTCCGTGAAAAATTTGTCTTTGGAAACCTGTGCCCTAAGAAACCATTCAGACACTCCATTTTTCTTCCAAAATCAAAAAGCGTCATTTGGTCAACAGACACCACGAGCACACAAGGAGAGCACGACTTAACAGCTACAGAGGAAGGAGATGTGCAAAAGAAACCTGTAGCATGATGGCATTCTGCTACAGGAGACTGTGGGAAGTCAAACATGGAGCCAGTCGCTGCAGCGTGGCCTCAGAGATTACCTAGCAGCCCCGTGTTATTGCTCCTGAGGCTCCAGAGCGCTTTGACTGCTCTCCTGGCCACCCACTCAAAGGTGGAATCGCCGAGCAGGCGGCTGAGGATACCAAACTCCACCAGCAAGGACCCGGCTCCTGCAGTGCAGGTTTCATTGTTGCTGTCTGGAGGTACCCCCTTCTTCAGATTGACCTGTGAAGCAGATAGAGAGTGCTAAGAGCAAGAAGGCACCTCAGACAGCTGGGCTCTCACCTGCCCATCTTGTATTTATTATAAAGCCTTTCCATTAGTTTTTGCAGTATGTAGTGTGCAATGTGTAAATAGTTAGAAAGCCAACGTATCATTGCTTGGTCAAAAAGCTTTTCTGAAGAATTCCTGAAACTCATCTTCAGGCTTTGCTCAGGGTGGGCAAACCTAATTTTGCTACTCGTATACTTGCTAGCCCTTCCAAATTTCAGAGCACTTTTTCACCATTTCTACTAAACATTCAGGTTCTTCCAAGCACGGTGCAAATATTGCTTCCCCTCATTTACTGCTCTTGAAACCAAGAGTTTCCTCAGTGAATGCTCCTCAACTTCTCCACAGAACAAAATGCTGAAGGGAAGTTACACCACCCTCAACTGCTTTACCAGGCTCTGAGCAGAACTGAAAGCTTCTGTTTCTACAGCCTGACAGGTCTGGAGGAAAAGCAGTGCTGCAGTCCCCAGAAATTAAAAGTAGCCAGGCAAATACTAATTAATTTTCAGTTGAGAGTTCTTCCACTAGAATTGACATCTTTTTCCTCGTTCAACTGCATCTGCTTAAACCAAGAGGATGCAGCATTTAAGAATATCCCAGTATCACTGAGTACTCACAGAGCAGTATTCAATAAAGTTACAAATTCCAAGCCCAGTATGACAAGTATTTTTGGTTAGTTTTATTTTATCACAATTATCTTACTACCAAGTCACCAATAAAGTCACTCTCCTAGGCTATTTTCCTTTACAGTACTTTTAGTTAACATTTTCAATGACAGCCTTGTTTCTTGCTGCATGATACATAGGAAGAAAGCACAGGGCAGGGCATGATCCAGCTAAACAGCACAGAAACAAATGACTGCTGACCCATAAGGAACAATATACACAGAGTCAGAAAACAGCCTAAGGAAAACCTTTACTAGACATAAGGAGCGATTTATATCCCATGCATGTCACCATAACTTAGTGCAGTTCTCCCCCCACGCCTTTTTAATGTAACTTAGAGCAGGTTCGACACTCCAAGCGCACAGAGCTCGAGTTGTAGGACAGGTGAATCACTACTTTTAGATGCTTTCCCCACTGCGCTGACATCCCCACTTACCCGAGGGTAGGGAATCCCCGTCTTGGTGTTCTCGAAGGCTGGGAGCAGCCGCACTGCCAGGTCTCGAGCCATATGCAGCAGTTCATTGTCGTAATCCTTAATGGTCATATTGCCAAAAGGCTGCCTGCTATCTGTAATGATGATGTGGGCAGAAAGCAGGCTCCCCAAAACCCTATGGGAAAATGAAAAGATCTTCAGTTTTTAAATCTGTTCTTCAGCCATATCCTTATCAGTCCGACGTTCAACAGAAATACTACTTCGTGCACCTTACAGGCACTACAGAAAGAGATCTGTCTTTTTTCCCCACCAGTAGTGAAAACATCTAGAAGTCATGGTTTGCCACCCACAGTAATCCCAAAATTCAGTTCTGTAAAGTTTACCTAACCCAGTAGCTCTGTACAAGATAACAAGCCTATGAGTGAAGACCTCCTCGCTCCAATGCTAGTAAGGTTGCTATATAAACTTAATGTTCAGAAAAAAGAAACCTAGCCAAGTTAAGCAGCAATTAACACTGTTTAAGACATTCAGAAAACAAATCTATGTAAAATCAGACAGTATCTTAAACTCATCTCCAAGACAGACAGGCCTGTTTTTTCATCTAAAATGAAAGTGAAATCAAGCAGAAGGTCCACGGAAGAAAACCAAAACAGGGAAAACCTGTCAGCAGGGTTGGTGGTTGTGCACAGATCCGAGTTCCCGCAGCAAGAGCGGCAACAAAACAGCAGCAGCCTGCAAGCCACAGACAGCTGAGACCACCACTGTGTCACTGCTTCAAGCCACACGTGACCCATTAGAATTGTTCTCATCTTGAAAGAACGGAATATTTTCATAAAAGGTAAAAACAAAACAAAACCAACAACAAACAAACAAACAAAACCCCTTAAGGAGCAACTATGGAATCAAGCCTACCAAAGACACCCTCAGCAATGATTTTCCTTTGGTTTTCCCCATACATGCACACCAAGTCTTTAACCATGGTATTGTTTTAAAGACAGAAACTTAAGAGCAACGTACCTGATTGTTGCCTCGAAAACTTGGACCGTTGAGTCCTTATCGAACGAAACCGTGTCAATCACCAACTTCACTGCTTTCTGGAATTCTGACGAGTTTCCCATTACCTTTTACATAAAAACAAAGCTACTTTGTCTAACTGTTGCTCCAGGCTTTCATCATGCAGAAGCTTCTGAAACGTGAGAGACTCTACAAACCAGAAGTTTTATATTTGAGGAAAGAAGTTAAATACTGCCACAGAAGGTATGGATAGGACACAGAGCCACTGGTGAACGACGACAGGTAGGCAAACGCTTACCCAACGCACCATCAGCCACGTAGCACGGATCCCTAACTGCAGTTTCAGTTAAAGCCAACGTTTTCCTCGCTTCCTCCTTTCAGTTCTGTTCATCACTGTTCAGTTAAAACGGCTGAGACCTCCTCGCTGCAGAGCTGAGATTTCAGTGAAGCAACGGGAAGTATTTTATAACCCAGGGCACACACACAGTCCTTGCACACACCACCTTCTCCACAAGAACTGAGAAACACACTACGGATCGCGGGCATTGGAGGGCTCTGACCACGCGCCAGGACGCCGGCTATCGGCCTGGTTGCAAAAATGAGACCATTAAACATAAGTATGCATAAGGGGTTCAAGAAGGAGCTCTTCTCCACAGTACCGTGCTACTAGTACTACTAACATAGAACTCAGTTGCTTCTCCTATTGCCTTCAATTTTTATCAGAAATGCATATGATGGTGTATTTTAGCAGGCAAAAAGCAGCCATGCAGCTTTTCCCCTTCCTTTCATAGCTCTTCCTACAGACTGACCCTTAAGGCCCTACAAGCCCTCTCTGCCAAGCAGAACAAGCAGAACTATTTCAGTCGTCTTGAATAAGATGAACTCTCCTCCTGACACATCTGTCAGCAACCCATGCATGTCCTAACTCACATCCACCCTTTCTGGACATCAAGTGACAACAGCATTCCAAAACAGATCTCACCTGAGCTATGGGGAGATCTCCAAAATTTCCTCTGTCCCCTTTGGAAAACTCTCCTGATACAGCCCCACTACTCTCAGCCTTCCCTGCACGTGTAACACTGCCAGCTCATGACCCAGCTGTTCACTGATACACAACCAGCACCACCTTCTCCTCAGAAGTGAAGGATTTAATAACCTCCCACTTACAAACTATTAGACCTTTTAATTCATATTCTTGAAGTTCATTACAATTCTAATTGGCTCCTCACCTTCTCTTCATTTAAGAGGCGATCCCTATGAAACAGTAGCACTTTTTGCATTAACAGTAACGTGCAAAGACTAAAACAGCACCGGTCCCGTGGCAGGTCCTTGGAAAACACAGTGGAATAACTCTCTCCAGTTTGAGGCTGTCTGATGCCATCTTCCTTCAACTTCTCACCAAGCTTCTCTACCTTCACCCCAGCTCTCCAGCTCCACTAGCTTTTTGATTTTAAAAAATACAGAGCTGATTCAAGATATCAGATCTACTGTGGCCGTAAGTTCAACCTCAGAACAAGGGACAGTACCAGGGCAGACGAACCTAGCAATACCCATCTTCAAGAGAGCACTGAATAAATTAACACTGTACAACATACTCATTTTCCCCTTTAACTCTCTCCCTTAAAGTCCGTTCCAGCACACAGCCTGCTGTTGAGGTGGCTGCTCACCACCACACTCTCACTTCAATCCACCCATCCCACAACCCAGACCTGCAGCTCCCTCTTCTAAATGAAGCCCTGTGCCCAGCAGCGACCCTTGACTCCCAGCTTCCCACACCAGAGTCGGGAATAAACCACGCTGTGAATTGTGACAGGCACCCATTTCACCGCCAACAGCTGGACTGACAACAAACAGCGAGACCCACGTGCATTCAGGGGCTTCTCATCCCTCAAAACCTCCTATCCAACCGACTTCAGCCTTTCAGCCATTAATACTCGCATCGTGCTAAGACACCGCCTTCAAAATTTACTCAGCAGAAGGATTACTCTTTGGTGACACGTCCTAGCTACATTAACGTAATTTGTGAAATTCAGTGTGTTTGCTCCAGCCGCTAACCCCTTCCCTCCCTAATCTCCCTCCTGACTAAATTTAAGGGGGCGACAGAGTCATCCCGCACAGCAATCGCAGCCGGACGGTTCACCGCTGACCCCTGGCAGTGAAGCTCGGCTACAGCGGGCCAGGGCAGCTTTGGGGTTGCCCTCAGCCGCTTCAGGAAGGAAAGGTGAGGTTGGGTGGGGTGGCCATGTATGTTAGGGAATGCTATGACTGCCTAGAGATCAGCAACAGGGACAACAGGGTTGGGTGCCTATGGGTGAGGGTCAAGGGGAAGGCCAACAAGTCAGGTATCAT